GACTGTATTCTTGCGTCGCCCCCCAGGGGCGACGCGCGCGCCGAGAAATCTTATAGTATAGGTTCCGTGGCGCCCGCTTTCTGGCCATGCAATTCGGGAAACGATGTACTATAACATGGTTGTACATCAGGGGCAACGACAGGGGGGGACAGGCATAGGGGGGGATGCATCGGCCCCCACTCGCCCATTGATCGCCGAAAGGGGCCCGATAGCCCCAACCTGCCCTGGAACGTGCGGATTCACTATCGGGGACCTATCGCCGATCTATCGGCGATGTAACGCCGATTCCAAGTCGATGTTTCCCCCCCTACGCCTGTCCCCACTATCGTTGCGCCTCAATACTATACTTTCGGGTCGGACGCATGCCTCCAAGGAGGAAACATCGTACTAGGCATGTCCTTGTGCGTCCCAGAGGAGCCCCGGGCCCGGGGGACCTTCGGACGAGGCTAGGGTTAAGTCGGGCCTGTCCTTCTACAGGAGAAATATTCAAAAATAGTCCAAAAATGTTATGGGGACGACTTTTTGACTATTTTGGGCAATTTTCTGGCATTTTTGGGTATGTCTTATTTTTCATTTAAAATCCCCTGTAGGAGGACAGGCCCGACTCAAGTCCATGACGAGGATAAATCCGTTCCAACACGTTCCAGAACGCTCTCGGAGCCTTCGGGGCGCTCTGGGAAGGCCGCGGCGCCCGAGACGTCCTCCAAATCCGCCGGATCTCAGAGATTCTCGATTTATCCTTGCACGATTTTATTCGGAAACTGGAACATATACATTACCAGTGGCGGGTTGTTTTTGAATCCCAGGACTTTGCCGAGGGTCGGGGACGACGTCGGGGTGATGTGGTGTATACCCCTCCCCCGTTTTACACGGGAAACAACCCAAACATGTATACACCAGGATCCCGTATACACCAGGATCCGCGTTCTTGTGCGAATTCTTGACGCTTCGCGTACCCCCACCAGCCCATCCAGAAACGATGTCCAGGCAAGTTGAAGAGATCAGGGAAGTGGGGGAGCAACGAGAGGGACAGCCGATCCGTGCAAAGGATGAGGCGGAAGAGGAGGTCAGATGGATAGATGAGGGGGTGGCGAGGAACCGAGCGAAGGAGGGATGAGGAGAATGATGACGCTGGGTGGATGGTTGAATGCTGCTCGGATGCCTCTTGGAAGCCTTTTGGAAGCCTCTTCGGGCGTCTTGGGGGTCTCTTGGCGGTCAATGGGGGCTCTTGGGCGTCTGGGGTGCTTCGGGGGGGCCTCTTGAGGCCGCTTGGGATCCTCTTGGGGGGCTCTTGGGGGCCTGTTGGAGGCCTCTTGGGGGTCTCTTGGAGCTTCACGGCGGCCTCTTGGAGCCTCTTGGAGGCCTCTTGGAGCCTCTTGGGGGCTTCTTGGGGCCTCATGGCGGCCTCTTGGGGCCTCTTGGAGGCCTCTTGGAAGCCTCTTGGGGCCTCCTGGGCGCCCTTTGGGGCCATCTTGGAAGCGATCGATCAAAGAAGAGGGTGGAGTTAATTAACCTTGCCCCCCCAAGAGGCCAAAATGGGGCCAAAACCCTAGTAAAACCTATGATTTTGGCTTCCTCGCCGAGGCCGTTTTGGACGCCCTGACCGCTCGCGACCGGCCCCGTCCAGGTCCAGGGGAGGGGGTAGGGGGGAGGGGTAAACCCCTCCCCGAAGGGAAAGAAAGGGGGTGGAAGAGGAAACTCCCTAAACCAAACCACCTACGCCCAGAGGGCTGGTGGGATTTCAGCGCAGGGTCGGAAAAAGCGTCGGTGTATAGAGTTCGTTCCCCTATTTATCCTCGTCCTGGCTGCGTCTCAGACACCAGATCGGGGGCTCGTGGGCCCAGACCCCAGACCCCCTCGAGTCGTGGCAAAAGTCACGGCGGGATGCCTTTCCAGATTCGCGGCCTCCGAGGTTTGCGGGCCTCGGGACCGTCAAGGAACGTTCCTCGAGGCCTCCCAGATGGGGTCGGAGGATCGCGCCGCATCGCCGATGCATCGCCGATGCGGCTCGATGTGCAGCCCGCTTTGCTTCACGTCAACGTCGCCGATGCATCGCCGACGTCGACGATCCATGGCCGATGCGTCGCCGATGTATCGGCGATACAGCGCAATCCTCCGACCCCATCTACTCAGACCCCATCTAGAAGGCCTCTAGTTGCATAATGAGAAAGCGGTTTCAGGGAAGGGGTTCAGATTCCAGGTCATGACGCCGGGGGTCTGGGGAGGAGGGGGTCGTTCCAGGAAGGGCTTCGGGAACGAGCTCAGCTGGGGGCTCACGCTTCTTCCTCCCAGGGACTGCTGAGAGCAGTTTTCTTCGGACCCCACCTCCGCCCCTCTCCCACCTTCAACTACTCCGCCACAAATAAACACACGCACGCACACACATATACACGCAGACGCCCTCCAATGGATTGTTTCTAGACGCCTGCAAAAGTTCGTCGGAGGGTGTCTGTTTTTATGTGTATACGTATGTGTGTATATATGTGTGTGTATATATATATATACAGATTCGTGGCGTTCTTACGGCCCCCCAACGGACGGCAGGCCCTGGCCCAGTGACCCCAGGGAGAGAGGGAGGGACGAGGATCGGACGCCGGGGGAGTTGCGCCTCCGCGCGGGGCGGCACCCCTGCTTGAGAGAGAAGTGCACTTCCCCTGATGGGGAAACGCGCTTCTCCCGGAGAGGGTGGGAGGACGCTCGCATTACTTTCTTCCAGGAGCCGGTTGGAGCGGTTTTCCTCCCAACCCCACCTCTGCCTTTAACCCCACCTTAGCGTCCCCCCGAAGGGGGGCAGGGGAAGAGGCGAGGGCTGGGCTGGGGTTTCTGGGACATGAATGAGGTATGCAGTGCATGGCGGAGGCTTTCTCGGGTTCGGCTCCCGCGTTTCTTGGGTACGCGCTTGGGGGTTCTGGGGTACGGTCCGACGTTTGCGACATTCGGGCGTCGACCAGGAAGGGAGAGGGACGAGTAGCAGGAAGAAGCGAGGATGAGAAGAGGGTATAAGAGAATCGGGGGACGGCAGGAAGAGAGGTCATGACGATGGCAACAGCGACGACGACATGTTTTTGATTTTGGGAGTGACGAGGAAGAGGAGGTGGAGGAGGAGGATGAGGAGCAGGAGTAGGAGGAGGAGCAGAAGGAGGAGGAGAAAGGAGGGAGGGAGGGAGGGAGGGAGGGAGGGAGGGAGGAGGAGGAGGACCAGGAGGAGGAGGACCAGGAGGAGGAGGACCAGGAGGAGGAGGAGGAGGAGGACGAGGGAGGAGGAGGAGGAGGAGGAGGGGGGGAGGAGGAGGAGGAGAGGAGGAGGAGGAGGAGGAGGAGGAGGAGGGAGGAGAGGAGGAGCAGGAGAGGAGAAGGAGGAGGAGGAGGAGGACGAGGAGAAGGAGGAGGAGCAGGAGCAGGAGGAGCAGGAGGAGCAGGAGGAGAAGGACAGGAGGAGGAGAAGTGGAGGATGAGGAGGGCGAAAGAGGAGTTGGACGGGCAGGAGGAGAGGAGGAGGAGGAGGAGAAGGAGGAGGAAGAGGACAAAGAGGAGGAGGAGGAGGAGGAGCAGGAGGAGGAGGAGGATCAGGAGGAGGAGGAGGATGAGGAAGGAGGGAGGGAGGGAGGGAGGGAGGGAGGGAGGGAGGAGGAGGAGGACGACGACGAGGAAGAAGAGGAGGAGGAGGAAGAGGACGAGGAGGATGAGGAGGAGGACGAGGAGAAGGAGGAAGAGGAGGATGAGGAAGAAGAGGAGGAGGAGGAGGAAGAGGACGAGGAGGAGGAGGAGGAGGAACAACAGCTCAATGAGGAGGAGGAGGTAGAGGAGGAGGAGGAGGAGGAGGAGGAGGAGGAGGAGGAGGAGGACCAATGTACGCAGACGAGGCATCAACGACGTTGGAATAACCCCATCCGTCCAAGCTTCCTCTTCATAGGCCCCTACAACGGTTCATTTCCATTGAGGGGACTGGTCCGTTGGGAGACAACCGTTTGACGATCCTGCAGCGTGCCAAAAAATGTTCTCGGAATTTCAACGCCACGCCGTCACGTATCAACCTGCATGCTGTGTCTCGACGATCCCGTATCGTGCCAGAACGTCATGTTTTGGGTGTTCAACACCGCGAGTCAACATAACTGTTGCGCCCGCATAATCCTGAACACTTTCAACACACCATTCATGGCACATTGATCATGGGAATACGTGAAACCTTTGCACATGTTTAAAACGAATGTGCGCGGCGCTGAGGCGAGAACCACATTTTGAAATGGAACCGCCCTCATGAAACTCATGCAAATGTTTAATACGAATGTGCGTGGCGCTTAGGCGAGAGCCACATGTTGAAAACCACCCGCCTTCAATCCGTAAAACTCTTGCAAACGTTTAAAACGAATGTGCGCGACGCTAAGACGGGAGCCACATTGTGAAAACCACCCGCCCTCAACCCGTGAAGCCTTTGCAAATGTTTAAAACGAATGTGCTCGGCGCTAGGGCGATAGCCGCGTTTTGAAAACGACCCGCCCTCAATCCGTAAAGCCTTTGCAAATGTTTGAAAACAAACGAATGTGCGTCGCGCTAAGGCGAGAGCCACATTCTCAAAACCACCCGCCTGCAATCCGTGAAACTGTTGCAAATGTTTAGAACGAACGTGCGCGGCGCTCAGGCGAGAGCCGCATGTTGAAAACGACCCGCCCTCCATCTGTAAAGCTGTTGCCCTGCTTTAAACTTCAGATCAGAGTCATACATGGTGAGGGAGTCTGAGGTGAAACGCCCAGCCCGCCCGAAAAACTTGCTTCGGGGTGCAACAAGGAGAAGTGATCTACAAGGAGAAGGGATGGAGGAGGAGGAGGAGGAGGAGGAGGAGGAGGAGGAGGAGGAGGAGGAGGAGGAGAGGGCGGTTGAGACGAGGCAGGGCGAAGGGCCCGAGGCACGAGGGAGTAGGCGGCGGCAGCGCGGAGGGAGCACGCGAGGCGAGGCGAGGCGAGGCGCGGCGAGGCGGGCCTGTCCCCCGCGGCCCTGCCGAGGAGCCCTCCGCGGAGGGCCTGCCCGCTGGCGAGGCGGACGACCGGCCTGCCCACTTCGTGCTCGCCGCGGAGCGCGCGGGTGGCCCGACCGCGGCGGCGCCGCCGCGCGGCGCCCGCGCCGCCGCGGTGCCCGCGTTGCCGCCCGTCAGATTCCGGCTGCCCGCGGCGTAGCGCCCGCGGGCCCGAAAAGTCGCCGTGGGGGAAGCGGGCCCAGACTCGAGCAGTGGCGAGACGCCCTGGCTTGCCTATAGGCCCATCAAGGAATGCTGTAAGAACCTTTTTTCGGTTTGCGCGAAACGTTCTTACAGCATGTCTGGCTGAGACGGTAGTGTTTTAGTGCATCGGGCTCATGTTCTAAGAACCTTGTTTTTTCGTTGCCTTGTCAGGCTTACGCCACGTCCGCCGACCCCTTGTTTTTTCCTGGATGCTCTTCGGGCGTTTATAGGAGTGCGCTACGGCGTTCAATGTTGCTGTCTTGGTCTCCGTCGAAGGCCGAAGCCCTCCGCAATCCAGTGGTATTATGTTTCGTCGGGGAGTCCTCACACAAGTTTTTGTGATGCCCCCAGGGGGGCAACCTGGACGCTCTCGCAATTCTGGTGCGCAGTTGGGGATCCAGTGCGTGTGTGTGCGTGTGTGTGTGTGTGCGCGTGTGTGTGTGTGCGTGTGTGTGTGAGAGAGAGAGAGAGAGAAGATGTGTGGATGTGTGTGTGAAGTGTGTGAATGTGCGTGTGTGTGAGAGAGAGAGAGAGAGAGAGAATGTGTGGATGTGTGTGAATGTGTGTGTGTGTGTGTGAATGTGTGTGTGTGTGTGCGGGTGTGTGCGTGCGTGTGCGTGTGCGTGTGCGTGTGCGTGTGCGTGTGCGTGTGTGCGTTCGCGTGCGTGCGTGCGTGCGTGCGTGCGTGCGTGCGTGCGTGCGTGCGTGCGTGCGTGTGTGTGTGTGTGTGTGTGCGTGTGTGTGTGTGTGTCTGTGTGTGTGTGTGTCTGTGTGTCTGTTGTGTGTGTTGTGTGTGTGTGTGTCTGTGTTGTGTCTGTGTGGTGTTGTGTCGGTGTGTGTCTGTGTGTGTCTGTGTGTGTGTGTCTGTGTGTGTGTCTGTCTGTGTGTCTGTCTGTGTGTCTGTCTGTGTGTCTGTCTGTGTGTCTGTCTGTGTGTCTGTCTGTGTGTCTGTCTGTGTGTCTGTCTGTGTGTCTGTCTGTGTGTCTGTCTGTGTGTCTGTCTGTGTGTCTGTCTGTGTGTCTGTCTGTGTGTCTGTCTGTGTGTCTGTCTGTGTGTCTGTCTGTGTGTCTGTCTGTGTGTCTGTCTGTGTGTCTGTCTGTGTGTCTGTCTGTGTGTCTGTCTGTGTGTCTGTCTGTGTGTCTGTCTGTGTGTCTGTCTGTGTGTCTGTCGGTGTGTCTGTCTGTGTGTCTGTCTGGGTGTCTGTCGGGGTGGGGCGGTCTGTGTCGTCCGGTGACGCTGGCCGGGGCTGCTGTTCTGCTGTGTCTGTCGGTGGGGCTGCTGTGTGGCGGCTGTGGTGGTGCGGTCCTGTGTGTCTGTCCGGGGGTCTGTCTGGGGGTCCTGCCGGGGTGTCTGGCGGGAGGCGGTCTGTGGCGGGCGGTGGGCGGCTGGGGGCGGGCTGTGGGGGCCGGTCTGTTGTTCTTCTGAGTGTGTTCCCTGTCGGTGGCGGTTCGTGTTCGGTCCTGGTGTGTCTGTCCTGGGTTCTGGGCTGGGGGTGTGCTGGCCGGGGTGTCTGCGGTGTGTCTGATCGGTGTGTCTGGCTGTAGTGTCTGTCTGGTGTCTGTCTGTGTGTCTGTCTGGTTCGGGCTGGGTGCGGTCTGTGTGTCTGTCTGTGTGTCTGTCTGTGTGTCTGTCTGTGCGTCTGTCTGTGTGTCTGTCTGTGTGTCTGTCTGTGTGTCTGTCTGCGTGTCTGTCTGTGTGTCTGTCTGTGTGTCTGTATGTGTGTCTGTCTGTGTGTCTGTCTGTGTGTCTGTCTGCGTGTCTGTCTGTGTGTCTGTCTGTGTGTCTGTCTATGTGTCTGTCTGTGTGTCTGTCTGTGTGTCTGTCTGTGTGTCTGTCTGTGTGTCGGTCTGTGTGTCTGTCTGTGTGTCTGTC